CTGTTTTTTTTTTTTTAAATAATTTAAAGCAGTTCCAATCAATTTCAAAAACTTAATTTTAAGTATCTAAGTGTCCATTATTCAAAAAACAATATTAATATTTAGTCAAATGATTTAAAAATTCAAGTTGGGTCAAAAACTCAAGTTGCTCAAATTGGATTGGTGAAATACAATAATCATAAAAGATTATTAATTGAACATCAGAGCTACAGAGGATATACGTATTCATTAGACAGAACCTGACAGGAAAGAAGTTGGATCAATCTTAGTTAGCCTGGATGGTTAAGCTGACTTTTTTTTATCTTGAATATTGGTGTCTAAATGTCCCCGACCCAATCTGAGCTACTTGTTTTTAGATCTGAACTTGTGAACCCTATACAAAGACACTTAAAATCAAGTTTTTTAACATGACACCTGAAATTACCAATTCAGTGGGATTTTTTAAATGTACAGTCAGTTTCAACATTAGGGCATTAAATAGTTGCATTTCTCAAATAGGCGTTCAATGTGTAACACCTATTTCCTAATATCACTTGATCAAACGTATTCTATTACTGTAGTACAGATTAATTCTATATATTGTATTTTATAATGTTATACAGTGTAATTGGTCTGTGAGAAATTACAAAAAGGACGGAATTTTGATCGCTGCTAAAATATGCAGTGTGACATTCAGTCACATTTTTGAGCCACAACAATATTAAAGATGAAATAGGTGCCATTTCTATATTATATGATACAGTGTAACACAAGGAAGGACGACTGGGAGATGCATACAATAAATGTTTAAAGGTCAGGAGGAGAAAGATTTAAGTCCCCATTATGCGGTTTAGCGTTTGAGGCCACCAGAGCACCTTTCTGTTGGCATAAGAATTATCCACAATGTTTGTGTGATTTAAATAAAGCTGTTTAAAACATGGAGACGCAGAAAGTAGCACTGGAAAACCTTCAGATTAGGTTTTAAACTGTGCTAATGTGCCTAATGAACAGCCTGTGGTTCTTTTGATTCACAGCTACATCATGTAAAACTTGTGTTTATCCCTGATGACTGAGACAGCAGAGTGGAGAAGCTTTGAATTAAAAAGATGATAGTGGACAAATAAGGGTCCACACTTAATTTCCCCTCCGTGCTCCAAAGGCCTGCAGAGATACTGACTGAAGTTTTTAAACACAAATGTGCTATTTTTTCATCTTAGCATCATGACGTATTTAGTAATTATCACTAGAGACATTGATAGAATTAGTTCATTTTGAAAGCTATAACAATTACGCTAATTTCTGTAGTTTGACAACAGTTTTGCTCACTTGAATGTAGGTTAGGTCAAGGTTAGACTAGCACCCTAAAATGTGCATTTCACTAAAAGCACTAATTTTACAATTTGGGAAATACTTTTATTAGCTTTTTGCAGTACGTTAGATGAGAACATTGATACCACTCTCATATCTGTCCATTAAATGTGAAGCTACAGCCAGCAGCTGGTTAAGCTTAGCGTATCATAAAGAAAGGAAACAGAGGCAAAGAGCCAGCCTGGCTCCAAAGATAGCAAAATCAACACCTCTAAAGCTCACAAATTAACAAGTTATGTGTTGTTTATTTCATCTGTACAAAAACAGAAATATAATGAGAGGTTTTGTGTCAAACTATTTCTTGTCTGGGAGCAATAAAAGTTATTGAGCTTAACAAGTGTCGATTTTGTTACATAGCCAGGCTGTCTGTTTCCAGTCTTCTTGCTAAACTAAGCTAATCCGCTGCTGGCTGTAGCCTTATATTTACCACAGACTTGAGAGCGTGGTATCAATCTTGTCATCTCACAGAAGTTATCCACAGCCACTCACTTCCAGCTCTTTCCAGGTTAACATGTGGCGCTGTTGGATGCCCTTCATCTTGGCCTGGGTATCCATGGCAACCCCAACCCTCTGCCAAAGTGGAGATTGGGGTTCAGGCTTTGACATCTACTCCGCGGTAATGGCCCCCAACGACACAACGCAGGCAATTGGTGATGAGCCTGTGAGGATGACAGACAACCGAGACTGGATCACATCAGCAGCTTTCTCGCCATCATCCTCACCTACGCTGCGGTACGAGCCTCAGCCGGACAAGTGCTCGGTCCACTTCAGCACTAACACCGCCTCACCCCGAAGGCTCAAGGCCAAGAAAGAGGAGCTGGCGTATCTGCAGGCCATCCAGCATGGAAACAAAGCAGTGATGGAGAACTTGGCGCAGTTTGTGGGGGCAGAGCTGGGAGATCAGCGCTATGAAGATGTGATTAAGGAAAACATAATTGGCATCCAAGAGGACCAGAAGAGTTGCCATGAGGTGGTAGAGAAAGCTGAAGAAGATCTAGAAACGCAATTGGAGGGGGAAGTGTCAGGCGCCCGTGCTGGGATGCAGAAGTGAGTGCAATAAGTCAGTTTGTGCAGATCTTCATAAAGGTAAAGGTTGAAATGTAAAGACGGTGGCTAATAAAAGATGAGCCCTTGTTTGTTGGCGTACTGAAGACGTAAACAAATTAACAGTGTAATAGAGATATTGAGATATCTGTGTTCAAATGGCAGAGACAGGCAATCTTTTGCATTTTATCAGAGGTGACTGCTGTTTCATCCTGTCTTTTACAATGCGCATGTCAAGGAAATGAGCAAACTTATTACCCTAATATCTTGATGCAAAGCTGCTGCACTGTGTCTCTGCTTGCAGTCTCTCTACTTATTTACTACTCATCTGGTCAACTTTTAAAGTAAAATGCCACATATTTACCAGTTCTCACCTGCCAAATGTGAGGACTTGCTGCTTTTGTCTGTTTTATGTCATTGTAAACGGAGTATCTTTGGGGTTTTTGACTGTTGTTTTGACAAAGGAAGCAAACTGAAGAATTCATCAGCATGTTCTTTAAAGAGGGCTGAGATATCTAGACTAATTATTTCCAAATGCACAGTACAAAGTATCCTAGTAGGGAGCAGTCATGTCTAAAATACAGATATTATACATATGGTAAACCTCTAAATTGATTATTTTTAACAATATGTGTATTTGCACATAACATTACCCCCTTTTTTGTCTTTTCTTGTCATGCTTTAATCTTTGTAATTTCTCTTTATATATGAGTCTGTCTTCCCCTTTACACAATCTTTCCTATTACATAACCAGTTTTAACAGCAGCCACATGTATCAACCCCCC